AGGGAAAGATGGCATGTTTTCACAATATCTTGGAGTCTTGGTCTCTGTTAAGAAGCAATCAACAAGAATATGAAGGAATCCATTTTTTACAGAGTGGAAAAGATAAAACAAGTGTGAATAATTTAGAGGGCATTTTGACGCAGTACAAAATTAGTTGCAAAACAATGTCTGTGGGGTTGATGATAGCTCCAAAGAATGCAGAAAGGCTTTAGGCCATGGACCAGTAGCAGTAAGGAAAAAAGATAGGATTGTGATTGAGTTTTAAAGAATTAGATGGGTAGAGAAAAGCAAGGAATGAGTGGTGTGCAGGCTCACTACCTATACAAAGTCATAGATACGGGAGTGAGGAAAATGTGTCTGAGAAGCAATGACTCAAAGAAATATATAAACATTGTCCATAGTGGAGGTCCAGCCCTAAAATTGGTGAAGGAATCACAATACTGGTGAATATAAATTTTGGAAAGAGTTTTGTACAAAATGGGCACTAGTAGCTTTCTTGTGGAGCTTAGTAGAAAGTGCATGAGTTTTGGAATCAGATAAGCTTGCATTCACATCCTGGGGCCATTACTAGTGAGGGTTTTGTTGTTGGCCAAGTAAATTAGCCTCTGTGAATCTCAAATTCACTGTATAAAAATAGGGAAATCAGTACTTTGACTATTCTGAGGAACAAATGGGATGGTACAGATGAAAAACTCAGTGTAGTTTGATTCCTCCCTACCACCCTTTTGAGTTCCTGCTCATCTAACTTACCCAAATGAAGTATCTGAACATGGTCCTGTGATGTCATGTCAGCTGCTGACACAGACAGGATTCTTAAACATGTTTGCAAAAAAGAAACCACTATGAAGCAATCTGTACATGGGTGAGTTGTGACCTTAAGCCAGAACATATCAAATATACTGAATAAACTGAAAAAACTGTGGGCATCACTGTTGTGTAAGCATGGTTTCAGCTGCCTGCTAGTCCCTCCTCATGAACTCGTGGACTTACATCCTAGCATTCAGTGGAAGGACACAGCCTGGTCGGGGATCCTCGCTATCTCTGTTCTTTCCTGACTTTGTCTCTCTGCTTCTATGTCCAAAGGCCAGCACTGACTTTATCTGCCTCAGATTCGGCCCTGAAAGTTACCAGCTTTCAGCAGTTGGGGGAAAAAAAATGATATTCTATTACTTTTGCTCATAGTGTTTAAATTACATAGTTAACTTTTCATTGATATATTACTTTTCAAGACAAATTATTAAAAAGTCCATTTAATTTATCAACTTTTATTCCCACACCTATTCATATTCCCCTGACCACCTTACAAATGGGCAGCCATTTTAGAATTTTTGAAACACATTCTAACAAAAAACAACAACAACAACAACAAAACAAAAACAACAACAACAACAACAACAAAATGCCTTCTTTTGTGTGCATGTATTTTGTTAAAGGATTAAGTGACAATATATTTGGTCATTTCCAGTTCTGACTCCTCCTTGACTTCCTTTCCTAGGCTGGATGATAGACCCATGTTTTATTCATCTTTGTCTCTTGAAGGTTTAGAAGAGTCTCCATGGAGTAAGCCTCAAATAAATATAAATGAAAAAATAAACAAACTCAAAAACCCAAATGGTTCAGATTGAACTAAATTCTGCAATGTTCCAGAGACCTAAAGATTATAAGACTAAAATATTTATAGAACAATTTAAATGATTTAATTATGAGTCCTGACACAATTTGTCAATGCATTACTCAAGCTCTATACGAACTATGAAGAACAAATCAGGCCTTTCCTCAAGGACCTGAGGAATGAAAGAAAGGGTTTCAGTACGATGCAGTGATTGAGATTCTTGTAATAAATATTACCACTTCAAATTTTGTTCCAGGCTTCACTACACATTGACATACCTGTTTTCCCACAGTAAGAATTTTAGAGTCCTAAGTCCCATGACTAAACCCCCTTACAAGCTCTTACCATTTGGGGGCAGTCTTAACATTTTTATTTTTTTATGCTTATCTTTTTTTTACTTTTTTAAGTTTCATTTTCTTTTATACAGTCAATCATATTATTTATCTTACAATGTGAATATTTTAACGTGAACATTTCTCCCTAGTTCAGTTGACTAAACTATAAAATATCTTTAACAGAAATTAGTATATTTCTTTGTCCCATTAATGCTTTTCCTTCCCATTTTTCTTCTAATTGTTCTTCCTCAAACCCTTCTCTTTCAT